TGGGCAGGGGTCAGCCCATGATCGGGACATTGCAGAAGCTCGTCCATAGTGGCCTTCAGTGCCGACACACTCTTCCACTTGCCGTCACTTATGCTACGGATGAGGTGCTCAGTATGAGGCGCTAAGTTCTTATTCTCAAAGCGGTCTTTCAGGGCAATGCACTAAGGTAATTGTTCCATGTACTCTCGAATTCTTCCCGCTGACGTTCTATCTTCCCAGCGGTCCGTTGTAGTGTGGAAAGTTCGTGGGTGGTGTGCAGTAAAGTGTCAGTGAGAAGGTTCCAGCATTCTTCGGGTTCTACCTGTTTACCCTTTTGATCCTTCGACGACGTTTGGAGTCTTTCCCCTTCCTCTTTCAATCTTTTCTTTTGCCGAATTCCCTCCTTTTTATAACCAACAACTTCTGATGGAGCTCAATTCTTTTCTCTTCTAATAACAAATGCTTCTCCTCCTCATCCTCAGTTGCTGCCAACTTTGCCACAAATCGATCTCTCTCTTCTTCACTTTCTTTCGAGAGCTCTGTCCAAAACCTGAATTTTCCCACCCAATCCAAGTCTTCAACCCGCTGGAGTCCTAGTTCCCTAGCTTGGCTGCTCTCTACCTCTTCTCCTTATCTTGTTTTCCTTCTCTCCAATCATCCTTCTTCTTCTTCTTCTTCCTCTTCTTCTTCCAATTCCTTTCTTATTTCTTCCTCCTTCCTTCTCATCTCTTTCTCAATTTTTTCTTTCTCCTCCTCCATCTTCTTTCTTTCCTGCTCCAATTTTTCTTTTACTTCCTCCTCCTTCTTCCTCTTCTTCTCCTCTCTTTGTTTTTTCTTTTCAACCAGCTTACTATCAATGCCTTCCTGCTGGTCTGTTGTATATGGATGTGTGGTCCCACCGGATCTCATGGTTACGTCCATACTGCATGCCTGGTTGAAACCTAGAGGAAAAAGGAAGCGGAGGAGTGAACCCCATAACACGGACAGGGTCAAGAATCTAAGCATCTAGTAGTCGTCCATGGTGATTGAAAGCACAGGTAAGTAGCCTCCACCTCCTCACCACGTAGACCAAGCCCTCAACACTTGACCTGACTTAATCTAGATTGGAGTTTGACATGCCTTCCTTCTCCCCCCCCCACAGTGTCACTACAGCTCCCCCGTCAGGTTGGTGGGCAACCAACAGTTTAAGGTCAGCCAGCAAGGACCTCATGAATTCTTTAACGATGCAATCAGGACGTTGTGCCCACTAGGATCTCAAGGTTCGCCCTCAAGACTTATAGCTCCTCATTGCGTCAACTCCAGTTCGATCGCATGCTGATCAGTAGCGGTCTTAGGGCTAGACGAGTTAGTTAACGAGCACTCGCCGCTCATGCCCATGCTCCCTACTTATGGGCGAGTCATCGAGTTGTCGAGCTTCTATCCTAGACTCAACTTAATCCATGCACATGTGTATGACCAGATGTTGAGTCAAGACAAAATTAGATATGTCACCAAGTGTTTCGTCGAGCAGCAACGACGCTAAGATGTGGGAAGGTACACACGACACTAATTCATTCATGAAAGCAAATGCAGGGCTTATGGGGCCGATGCACTTCACTTGTAAACGTTCCTTTGATGACGCTCCACGAAATCGCTCCACGCATGCAGGTATGTACTCAACATCCCCCACTATCGGCCACTTCTTCTTCAGCCTCCGACCCCTAATTCAAACTCCAGAGTCCAGATCTCATCTCGTCGGCCTTAATCTTGCCAGCGATCATCAACAACGGATGTAACGAGTACCAACTCCGATACCAATTGCATCGAACCACATTGTTTGTCACCCCAAGCACATACACCGTGAGAGATCACAGAAAATCCACACTGGAGACTAGAGATGCAAAGTCCAGATGAGCGCAACTTAGAAATTCCAACGAATTACCATATTAAACAGTTTCAGCGTTCCGGTCACCAGCGCTCATCAGTTCAGGGTTCAGCAACCCATATCCAGTATCCTCATCCAAGGTAGGTGAAACTCCGACGAAACAGCTTGTCACAACCCCTCGTTTGTTGTCCTCTTCTCCCTCTCTGCCTATGGTTTGCCGGACAACTCTGTTTGATGATATATGCCACGACTTCGCTAGCACCTTGCTGCAGTTTTCTCCGGTCAGGTTGAGCGGCAGTGGACGGGGCCGTCACTACGTGCCCATGTTGTGCCTCTAGTGCCACCGGCTTGTCTAGAGTGTATTTTTCGGCTGTGACGGACCTTTCTTTATTTCGTGGGTGTTTTGCTGGTTTGTGATGGGGTGTGAACCGACAGTCTTTAGAGTGATAGTCTGCTTTGATTTTCGTCATAGGTACCTTGAGGGCAGTGGTTGGTGCCCACACTCATGGTCAATAGGTGGTGTCATTTTCAGCGAATTTTGCCATGTTTCCCTGAATTTTTGCTTTTTTTGTTTTGTTTTTTTGCCTGATATATATAAGCTTTATGGTATATCTGTATTCAATTTCAGCGTATTTGGACGAGTAACAAAAAAGTTGGCAAAAACACCGAATTCGAGAAACGTTTTAGCGAACTTCGAAAGCTACTTCGAATAGGTTTTTATAGTGCTGTTCATTTTTTTATGGTTTGTTTGCAAAAGTTTCGACGACATTGCTTGTAGTGATGCGGCAAAAAAACTCGAGTTTTGGGCCTTCCATTAACCGCGTGTCGATGCCCACCTCAGGGTATTAGTTGTCGGGCAGTCATTGATGCTTAACCATAGCCGGCCCGGGCCGGGGTTAAGGTGGATTATCACTTACAGTGTAATCGGTTAGGGGATTCTACAAATTGTTGGGGGTTCAGCCTCCTGATGAGTCGGTGAAACTCCAACGAACCAGTTTGTCACAGCCCCTCGTTTGTTGTCCTCTTTGCCTACGGTTTACTGGGCAGCTCTGTTTGATGATATATACCACGACTTTGCTAGCACCCTGGTATGGTTTTCTCCTGTCAGGTCGAGCGGCAGCGGTCGAGGTCGTCACTACGCGGCCATGTTGTGCCTCCAGTGCTAGCGGCGTGTCTGGAGTGTATTTTTTGGCTGTGACAGACCTTTCTTTGTTTCGTGGGTGTTTTGTTGGCTTGTGATGGGGTGTGAACCGACAGTCTATAGAGTGATAGTCTGCTTCGATTTTCATCACAGGTACCTTGAGGGCAGTGGTTGGCACCCACCTCAGGGTATCAGTTGTCGGGTAGTCATTGATGCTTAACCACAACCGGGGTTAAGGGGGATTATCACTTATAGTGTAATCAGTTCGGAGATTTTGCAGACTGTTCAGGGTTCTGCCTCAAGATGAGTCGGTCGACGAAACAGTTTGTCACAACCCCTTGTTTGTTGTCCTCTTCTCCCTCTCTGCCTACGGTTTACCGGGCAGCTCTGTTTGACAATATATAAACATAAATAAATATATATATTATATATCATCATATATATATAGCCTCCTTATGAGTCGCCAAAACTTCGACAAAATAGTTTGTCACAACCCCTCATTTGTTGTCCTTTCCTCCCTCTCTGCCTATGGTTTACCGGGCAGCTCTGTTTGACGATATATATATATCGTCACATAACTACGAACTAAAAGAGTGCACTTTGCATCGTTTGCGAAACAAACGGCAAAAATAAAAAATAAAAAAACAAGACAAACATGAAGGGCACACTGAAACCATTCACGTTTCTCATTGTTCTTTTAACTCCCCCTTCACCGTGCCTCTCACGTACAAGGCTCGCCATGTTGATGAAGTTGAGCGCGAGCTGCCCCCATCCCCATGTACCATAACGGCCCACTTGTACGCTGTGAGAAAGAGGCAGAGTGAAGGGGGAGGGGATAAACACAGGGTGGAGACATGGAGAGCAGACAAACAAAGAACGATAAAGGGAAAGTAAGGGAAAGTACGGAGTGTGGAGTGAAGATGAAGGCAAAAGAGGATAAGAAAAGGCTTAAGAACAAGTCTGTCCTTGATGACAGAGAGGCCATACATTGTAAGGATGAGGTGGATGAACACATGGAAGACCTAGCTGAGCATTCTCAGTGCAACAATTTCCACGACGGCTGGCATTGAGCATGCCCACCATACACCCCCGACAAATGGCATGTCGATTGCAGCCCAAAATGAAGCAAGAACGGTCACCACAAAAGACCATGCATTAAGTATAGCGCCCATCTGTTTGTGACGATATATATCTGTTTGACGATATATATAGATATAGTCAAACAGAGCTATATATATATATATTTTCGTGTTTGTCTTGTTTTTTTAATATTTTATTTGTGCTGTTTGTTTTGCAAAGTGCGCCCTTTTAGTTCATAGTTATGTGACAATATGTCACATAGTTTTGAGCTAAATAAAAAACAAAAAACAAGGGCAGTGGGCACATTGAAACCATTCAATTTCTCATTCTTCGTTTAACTCCCCCCTACACTGTGCCTCTGTGTGTGTGTGTGTGTATGTATATATATATCGTCACAAACAGAACTGCCCGGTAAACCGTTGGCAGAGAGAGAGAAGAGGACAACAAACGAGGGGCTGTGACAAACTGTTTCGTACATATAATATTATATATATATATTTCAGCCTCCTGATGAGTCTGTGAAACTCCGACAAAACAGTTTGTCACAGCCCCTCGTTTCTTGTCCTCTTCTCCCTCTCTGCCTACGGTTTACCGGGCAGCTATATAAATTGCTGGGAACCGGGCCCAGCGTCCGTTATAAAATTACATGAGATTACAATGAACATTTGATGATACTTCTGAGGATACTGAAGCCAGTAATAGGGCACTGGAGGTTTTCATAGGGGACGGGATTTTTGTTTCTTGAAATCCTCATTTATGATTTATCCCCCTTAGGTTTTGCAGAAGACTTTTGAAACTTTGTAAGCAATTGTATGAGGTTGCTTTAAGTTTTTCAACTAATTCGCTATTGTTTCTTTGAAATCCACCTTTGCACTTGGGTGTGCAGAAGTCATGCTGCTTCTGGAAGCGATGCTATGAGCTTATTCGTTTGCTTACCATGACTCGGCGACAGGTCCTGTTTGTGCTGCAATCAGCAACTGGCGCACACATTCTACATGCCCTCCCTTAGCTGCATAATGCAGACTAGTTCGCCGATTTATTAAGTCGAAACACAGGATCTAGGTTGTCCACACCATGCAGTGATCAGCACAAAGAACAAGAAAGAAGAAGAAGCACCACTGTTAAGCGTTAGACAAACAGGGATGAGTCAAAACAAACAGGATCTAGATTGTCCATACCTTACCAGTGATCAGCACAAAGAGCAAGAAGAACAAGAAGCACCACTGTTAAGCGTTAAACAAACAGTGATGAGAACAGCCACGACGCTGCCACGTAAGCGACGTAACTCAATTTTTTTGTTTTTCTTTGATTTTGAAAGGGCTCTTAGCCGCTAACATTATTGTATCATCTGATCGCAGGAATATTCAACTTTCAAACTCACGATCACTGTTTTTTTGTACCGCACTCCGATCGGTCCTGGAAGGGGGAATCAAACCAGTGATCTCGGGCTGAATAGCCAGACACCTCGACCACTGCAACCATGACTCGATATTCAAAAGCGGAACCATAACGGTCTTGATATCCCTCCCACCCTTGACGGTTGCAGTGTGAGCACACACTCTCCTCACATGGCGTCCTCTGAGACCCTCCTACAGGCCATAGCCATTAGCACGTAGCCAGTGCCACCAAGTCCGCATACGATTTCCCGACCAGTTACCACACAGAAGCATTGGTGTTTTGTACCACAGTTGGATCGACCGTGCAAGGAATCGAACCAGCGATCTTGGCCTGAACAGCCAGATGCCTTAATCACGATGTCGCTGTACCTTTGAAATGGAGGGAGCAAGGCTGGATGGCCCAGACTTTACAGAATCAATCAAGTTGCAAGTGCAGACAGTTATCACAGCTCATGGGAATAAAGTTACGGAAAAAAAAAATTAAAAAATTCCATTTTTTATCCTCCAAAAAAGAAGTTCTGCAACACATACAACAATTCAGTGGCGCTTTGCTAGGGGGGGCTCAAGGGGGGTAAGTTAGGAAAGATCAAATGGAGTGGGGACAGGAGATAAGACCGGGATGAGCAGAGTGATGAATTCACTGCCTGATTTTTTATGATTGGACAAATGTGGAACCTGATGTACCCCTTCGTCCTTTATCGGAATTCCTAGACCCTTTCCCTCCCTCTTCCTTATGCTTAATCCCTATGAGTTGGTATGGCAGCAGGTGTTTTGATGTTCTTTTTTTCAGCTGAAGCTCAGTCTTCTCTCTGTGAACTGCAATGTTTAGCTACTAGGTCCTATGGTATGAGGTGGCACCCTGTATATGGGTGAAGAGGTTAGTTAAGAACAAGGTTCTCTACCAGTGTTTGCTCTACAGATACGGCACCCCACTTTTGCGTGAAGGGGTAGTTTGCACAGTCTCCATCTGCCTCCTTGGAGTTGGTAGGGGTCTCTCAAAATGGGTAGAAGTGCAGGTTGCAGTCTTGAGTAAAACAAGTTTTTGGAGGTCTCTCAAAATGGGTTGCAGGATGTAAGCCAATTCTGTTTTGCGGATCAGGTGCTGCTCCCCATCAATAGATGGATCTTACCCAGGAGTGTTAACTTAATGGTGTCTGCTCTTGCCAGCACCCCTAGCATCAGCTCGGGCTGTTAAAAAAAAAAAAAAAAAAAAAAAAAAAAAAAGAAAAAAAAAAAAACAGGTTTGCTGGGGGGTGTCATAGGTTAGACCCTGGGCTGTTAAAAAAAAAAAAAAAAAAAAAAAAAAAGAAGCATTGCAAAATCAATGAATCCACTGAATCGTGTTCCAGTCTCAGTGAATCCCCCAGTCTCCCCTAGGGTAGTCAATGCTGGCAGGAAGATCTACTAGTGTTCTCCTTCTGCAAAATCAATATTGCATTCAAGGGGATGCTGGACCCGCTTTCCAGCAGCTGTAGCTCCCCACCAATAGACTGGAGCAACCAGAACCTTACTAGGGGAGGCTTCTGATATCACCTCCCCTAGAAATGTGGTTCAGCTAAGTCGTAAAAAAAAAAACACTGCAAACGTGAAACATACCAGTCATGATATCCATCCCACCCCTGCATGGTTGCAGTATGAACACAGGCTTGCCCACCCATAACTGATACCCTCCCTAGGGGATAAGGGTGACCTTCAAACTGATACCATATGTGGTAATGCCACTTTTAACTGCTAGAGTGACTTGTTTGACGCCTAAAAGTGGTCAGAAAATTTCAATAATACCTGTTGATTGTCATAGCTCAGTGTAGCTAGGACTGCGTGCAGCAGTGTGCCAAGGGGCTCTCACACTTTCACAACAATTATTTCGGATTTCCATATCAAAGCATACAAGATAACGGTCCAATGATGTTGTTATTTATGTTGCCTTATTATCAGTCAGAAAAGTTCAGCAAAGCCTAAGAGAGCTGCAGATGTCACATGAGGCTCTGGTCAGCAATGCATTGAGTTTGACTTGGGCAGGAGGAGCCTGGCAGACATAGGACTCGTTCGAGTCAGCAATGCATTGAGTTTGCTAGCAGGCCTGGGGGCTGATAAACCCGAAAAAAAAAAGAGAAGAAAAAAAAGAGAAGAAAAAAAAAAAGTTTGCTATAATGCTATTCCTATTTCATTTTTTTTTAGGAGGAAATCAGATGGAGAGGAAAGAATAATTGGCCAATCAGTACCTCCCATGGCGTCTGTCTTTTCCGCAGTCACGCCAAGCAAGTCGTGGGACAACTCTCATCCAACGGGACGTCAAGTCTAAGGAGCGCTGGCGTGCTGGTGCCATCGAGGGACACATTGGAGGAACTGACAGAATGATCACACTGCAAGCAAAACAATGTGAACTTTGAGTAAGGGGGGAAAACAAAAGATGAAAGCAATAGCAATGGGTGATGGAAATTGATCATTAGGGTCTAGGGTTTTGATAAATAGGGTAGTTTGCTACCTTGTGGTCCTTGGCAGGCTAGAGAAAGCAGGGGAGCCAGGGGTACTTTGCTTGTAGTTGTTGAAAGGCTAGAGAAGTAGGGGAGCCAAGGGGGTGAGTGGAAGGAAGTGAGAGGACAGAATTGTAATGTTGTGACAAGACTGAAAGGAGGATTGTGATGCAATTAGTGGGGATCCCAAATTTAAAGAATTAGGGTTATGGGTGGGGTTGGGTTAGGAAGAGCAAAAAGACCTGTACCTTGGGCAGCCAAGATCTGATAGGCTAGCAAAATCTATTATTCCTGCCCTTGCCAAACTGTAAATGCTCCCGCCTATTGAAAGGCCATGATGGACCTCTGCATTTCTTTAGAAACACACACGATGATGAGGAAGATGAAGATGATGGTAGCAACGGCGGCAACGATGCTAATTAAGGCAATGATGATGTTATGAAAATGTCCTCAGCCAAGAGTAAGCATCATGGTGATGGTGATGGTGATGGTGATGGTGATGGTGATGGTGTTTAATGGTGATGGTGTTTTATGGCGATGGTGATGGTGATGGTGATGGTGATGGTGATGGTGATGACAACAACGACAAAGCTGATGATGTTGATGTCAGCGGATAGAAGTAAGCATCATGGTGATGGCGGTGGAGATAATGATGGTGATGATGTCTTAAACCAGAAGTAAAGATGATGATGATGATGATGATGATGATGATGATGATTAAACCGAAGTAAACATGCTGATGATGATGATGTTGATGATGACGACGGCGTGTTAAACCAAAGTAAACATGCTGGTGACGATGATGATGCTGATGATTTCCTCAGCTTATGTAGTACTCCTGGAGATGCAGATAATTCTCCTTTGCAGCCCTCCGTAAGGGGTGAATAGGTATCCTTTTTCTGTACAAAATGTGGTTGACCATAATGCCCTGATTGAGAAGGCGAAAACAAAATGGTCACAGATGCCACAGCACACATTGTCCATCTGACACAATAAAGGACTGTGGCATTAGGGGTGGATAAGAAATTGCATGAGGTGGATCTGTATGCACGATGCTCGTAGCCACAAGGGTTGCCGCAGCACCGAGGTGCCAAGAGGTTGGCAAAGGGAAGAATCGGGAAGATGTTACATGACCCATATGCCTATGTGAAGGATTTCAGTAGTAGGGGTGGGAGGCTGGGTGTCATTAGAGGCAGCCAGCCATTTGTCTCTGCCAGCGGCATGTCTGGAGCATATTATTTTTTCTGCCTGTGACAGATGCATTGAGTCTTACTGCTCGTCACCTTGAGCACACAAACACACATTGAGAGATTGCACGAAAATCCACACTGGAGACCAGAAATGCAGTCCAGAATAGCGCAGCTTAGAAATTCCAACGAATTATCATATTACTATGATATTAGCTTATTAAGTTATTAAGCAGTTTCGGAGTTCCAGTCACCAAGCGCTCAACAGCGCAGAGTTCAGCAGCCCATGTCCATCATCCTCAACCAAAGTAGGTTACTCTCTTCTCTCTCCGCCTCACTCTCTCTCTCTCTCCCTGTCCTCTTCTTGCATTCTCTCTCTCTCTCTCTCTCTCTCTCTCTCTCTCTCTCTCTCTCTCTCTTCTTAAAGATCGTGACTCTGAATTCATCCGCTACTACTCAGCTCTATCTCCTACTACTAGCTGTGCGGCTATGGCCGCCTTCCTCTCACAGTGCAGCTCTTCCCAGCCAGGGCTCTCGCGCATGCCACTCGCAGATAGCGCGCAAGTGCCTCAGCAGCACTTCCACACTTCTCACGGGTGAGTAATCTGTTTGAAATGAGGCTGGCCAGTCCTTATATTCACTTGGACTGAGCCTTCACTCGCCCCAGCCTCTGCTTCCTTTGGCTTGACTTGGAACTGGTAGCACATGCCCGCGGCCTGTTTGCGTCAGAATGTCGAGGCCTGGTACCTCCCTGAATTTTCCTTGGTGTGCTGCTGATTGGGCCTGTGAGTCACGACCTTTCATCTGTGGGATATGACTCTCTGCCTATGAGACATGACTTTTGCCTGTAGAATATGCCCTTTGACTTCGAGACATAACTTTTGACCGGGTACCTGTTGGACTTGACCCCTGGGGTACCCGACGCAACCTTTCTGAAACTGGCTGACTTGGCTTCTTTTGGGCCTGGGACTTCGCCCCTGAGATTCGAATTCGGGGTCTGCATCATGGAATGCCTTTCACTCTTGCCGGCCTAATTTCGAGGTCCTCCGAGAAAGTTACAGTCTTCACCTATCAACTATGTTGATTTCTCATCTAGCTCTGTCATAGAAAGACACTATGTGTGGTGCAGTCTCTACTAGTTCATCCCTAGTAAACCAGTGATCTTCCGAAGGTTCTTGATTGGCAAATCTGACCTTATATTGTCACTGGGGTCTACCCTTGTGTCCTGATCTATAAACATCCTCTGCAACGATGCGATCCACGTCATACTTGCCATCCATATCGGGAGGAATCATAGATCTCCAAGATGGAAATAGATCATTATTGACACAAGGGAGCAACTTAGAGGCATGAAACACCGGGTAAGTGTGCAAATGCACAGGAATCTCAACAACATAGGAAGGACCATCCACATCACCAACCACGTCAAGTATCTGCCACGGTCCCCTATACGCAGGCAATAACTTCTGCGAGATGTTCTCCTCTGGGAGAAACTCCTTGGACTTCACCCAGACCAAATCTCCTACAGCAAACTGCGAAGGTCTGCGGTGCTTATTTGCCTGTTCTATCATCTGATGCTGTGCCTTTCTGATATTTTTCCTTACGTTCTCTAAGTTTCGTACTGCACAGCGAATTCTCCAGTCCCTGGAGGAAGCTTTTGCACTTGATCAGGGTTCAGATAGCCCACGGGCCTGCGCAGACGCCATCCCAAATGCAGCTCAGTGGGCATCCTCGCTGTAGCTAGATGTACATAATTGTTATAGGCACTAGCTACCTTAGGAAGATGCTCATCCTAGTCGATCTGATCTGGCCGAATGTACATTCGTAGCACTTGCTGCAGCTCTGGTGTCTACCTGAGGACATAGTTAGTTTGGACCCATAGACTTTCATGAGTTGTTGCCAGTGCTCGCCCGTGAATCGTGTATCCCTATCACTTACAGCAGTCAAGGGATGTCCGTAGCCTTTCACCCAATGATTAAAGAACTCCCAAATTACTAAATTCGTTCTTGCTTAAGAAGGGAGTGGTACAAAAACAGCAAACTTGCTAAATCTGTCCATAATTACCCTAACCCTTCCCATTTCTACTTCTAACTTTAGTGTCCATAAAGTCTATAAACACGGAGTCTCCGGGACCCGACGGTATAGGCAGCGGTCTAAACAAACCACGGGGAGGCTGCGTGGAACTCCTTTTCCTCTGACACACTTTGCAGCCTTGCACATAAGCTACACATTCATGTTCCATTCCAACCCATGTGTAGGAACGTAAGAGGTTAGCATATGTCTTCGGTGTCGTAGCATTCCCCTAGGATTAGACTACGAATCTCCTTGCTGTTCGGTATGCATAGTTTGTCGTGCACATCTATCTTTTCAAGCAAGAGTCCTTGGGTCATTCTATAGTGCGGGACTTCGTGTGGTGCCGTCTCCATTTTGTGAATCAACTCACTATAGACAGGATCACTAACATAAGCAGCTCTAATTTTTTCTTGCAACTCAGCGCCTACTTCCAAATATGTTACAATGGCATGGAAGAAATCAACTCGTCTACTTAGCGCATCAGCAACAACGTTATATTTTCCCTTTACTGGCTTTAGTTCAAAGTCAAACTTATCTATGTCCCCAGCCCACCTTGTCAACTTAGGTGTCATCCGGGCTCGGGTCTGTAGCCAACAAAGTGTCTCATGGTGCGAATAAAATTTAAAGTGTCGACCTAGGAGGTAATGCCCCCAATGATTCAAGGCTTTTCTAAGAGCAAACAACTCTCTCTCGAACGTGGAAGTGGAGACCTTCTCACAAGGCAGTCTACAGGACAAACTCGGCGGTTTTGTATCCATTATCATCATTCTGTTGAAGTACAACACCAATCCGGTATTGATTGGCGTCAGTGGTAACTATAAATGGCAAAGATGGATCGGCGATCTTAAGAACCGGGTACTCTATTAAGCATTTTTTCAGACGCTTAAGGGCTGGAGTGCAGTCCTTATCCCATTTCCAGACCGTCTCCTTCCTTAAAAGCCTACGCGATGGAGCAACTATTACAGTAAAGTTTTGTACGAACTTGCGGTAATAGTTGGCCAGACCAAGGAACGACCGTAGTTTCGTCAACGTACAAAGCGACAGTCAATCTCTAATTGCTGCTATCTTAGCGTCCACCGGTTTGATTCCGTCTCCATCTAACAGATGCCCCAAATACAACACCTGACGCTTGGCCCATTCACACTTCTTTGGGCTCAGCTTAAACTCAGCTTCGTGCAACTTGCTTAGCACCAAGCGAAGGTGTTGTTCGTGCTCTTCTAAGGACTTGCTTAAATTCACAATATCATCTAAATATACAACAACGAATTTGTCTAACCACTCGTGGAAGAGTTCATTCATACAACGTTGGAAAGTACCAGGGGCATTGGTCAACCGAAACGACATAACCACAACCTCATAGTGGCCATATCGAGTCCTAAAGGTCGTCTTGTGTTGATCCTCAAACAATACCTCAACCTGATGGTAGCCCAATTTCAGGTTTATCTTTGAGAAGTACTTGCAACCCTGCACTTTATCCAAAAGATCGTCAATCCGTGGTAATGGCCCCTATAGTCTATACGCATGCAGAGATCGCTTTCTTTCTTCAACACAAACAAAATCGGTACACCATATGGCGAGGAACTTGGCTTAATCCACCTTTTTTTCTATTAATTTGTCTAACTATCTACGCAACTCATTGAGCTCTTTGGGAGACATCTTATAGGTGGGGCCCTTGGGAACCTTGCTACCGGGTTCTATATCTATTCGATCCTTGGTCCCTCTCTCAACTACTCCACTAGGGGCCTCTCCCGCATCAGCGAACTCGTCTAACAGACTTTGCACATTGGGTGGTAGGGGCACTTTTTCCTTTTCCCCTACACCAACTGGTCTTACGTAAGCAACAAACACTTGCTCAACGAGGTCATTCTTGACCACGTGCCTGGCGAAGGAGGGGGCACTCATACAACAAAGGGACAAACTACTCTCTACGTCGGATGCATGATATAACCGCATTTTCTTCTTCCCACCTGTGGGACTGGGCAACCAACACTTGTGCTCGCTCATCTTAATGTCAGCATACGCGGCGTTGCCCCAATCAGTTCCTAGAATCATATCAAACAGAAGGCTATCCTCCACTAAGAGTGTCAGGGAGTGCAGAACTTTCTCTACCTTGCCCCCTACCTCCAACCGGAAGTATGCCTTAATCCCTTCAACGCACTCCCATACCATCATTTCTCTATTATTGACCAATTTACTAATGGCCGGCTCATCTAACTTTTTTACTTTCATACCTAGGTGCATCTTCTGCAACCCTCTTCTGCTAAGATAACTGCGCGTTGTCCCACTGTCTATCAACGCGCCTATCCCTTTTCTACTTACTTCTACATTTGCTATAATTAGTTGCCCCGTCGTCTTCTTCTTCATTTCGGCCCAAGCGCGGCGACAAGTGATCCACTCATCACCAATGCTTGCGAGGGAGCCACCTAGAGAGGTCCTAACACAAGTGACCTCTGGACAACTAGCTAGGTGGAAGCCTACATCAGTCTCAGAGTCTGCCATTGGAAGCTTCCAACAGGAAGGTGCTTGTTCAGCATGCGCTTCTATCTTCTTGTCTGAGTTCGACTGCAACCTCTACTGGTTGTTCCCTTTTGGGTACCTGTACCAGAACAGAAAAAAACAATGTGGTCGGGGTCACCACATTTAAGACATTGGTGAGCCTTGCGACGGTCCTCCCAGACCTGCTCGTCTATACCCATTTGCTCCCAAGGTTTGCCTTCAGCTATCCCCGGGTGTTTTGGGTTCGACTGCCAGTTTCTGCCTCTTTCTCTACCACCTATGGAGGGAGAAACTCTACCACCTTGCGAGGGACCATAACCCCTACCTCCCGCGTAGTAGCTACCTTCACCACTACCCCTCTGGGCAGCGGGTCCTCAACCTCCACCTCGCTCTCGGCCTCCTCTGCCTCGGCCTCTTCCTTGTCGCCCTCCCCCACGGGCTGAAACTGCTGCTAGTCCCCTTCCCGGGCTACTTGGTTGTTGTTATCCTCTTCTAATCCGTGGTCCATCTGGTCATATGATAATGACTCTACACCTCCTTTTTTGAAGGTGACCAGCATATTATCCTTGCGGACCTTGCCCTTTACGTTGCCGGATATAATTCTATTTTTCCACCTCTTACCGATCTGCATGTCTTTCCAATAGTGGCAATAGTTGCCTCTCGCAAGAATCCAGCGTGGTCTACAACTATTTTACTCAACTTTTCATAGGTCATCCCCTCTTCTTTAGTATGGGGATATAATTGGGTCTTGAGGGTTTTTGGCTGCACTCTAGCGAAGTTGTTAAGTATCTGAGCGGGGGTCAGTCCATGATCGGGACATTGCAGCAACTCGTCCATAGTGGCCTTGACTGACAACACACTCTTCCACTTGCGGTCACTAATGTTAAGGATGAGGTGCTCTGTTCGGGGGGCTAAGTTTTTGTCCTCGAATCGCCCTTTCAAGGCTTTACAGAAGCCCTCAATCCTAGTCCGCTGTGAGTATTGCACCATCGAGGTGCAACCTCTTTCACTAGCGAAAGAGCAAAGCTAGTTGTGTTTGCCTCTAGGCACGAACTTGCTATAAGTATGCAGCCCCAATACGGAATCAACTGCGCGTACAGGTATGTATCCATCGCCGCCTCCCCATGAAAAATGCTCTCCTCACTCTTCCCACAATATGTCCAAGGGACCTTAACCTTTATCTTCTCTCTTCGTTCTCCTCCTTCAGACTTATCTCCCTCTTTCTTTCCATCATCCTTCCTGGGACCCTTTCCCTCCTTGTCATCATCATCATCTCCGCCATCTCCTCCACCACTGGTGCATCCTATCGCTACGGATGCGATGGTGTTCTTCAACTTCTAGGTGAAGAGTCCGTCTAGCTGATGGGCATAGTCCATGATCCTTGGAGGAGGCACTCGGGTAGTTGCTCCACGTGCCCTGGAACTCCTCCTGATGTCGCTCTATCTTCCCAACGGATTTTTGCAAAGCAGCCAGTTTTTGGATGGTGTGAAACAGTGTGTCAGTGAGGAGGCCCAAATTTTCCTTGACATCCAGTTATTTCCCTCTCTGCTCATTCAACAAGGCTTGAAGCCTCTCCCTTCTTCCTTCAGTCTCTTCTTCTCTTCATTTTCTTTCCTTTTTCGTTGAATCAAGCACTGGTTAAGGATGTTCCTCCTCTCCTCCAACAACAAATCCCTCTCTTCATCATCTGCTGCAGATGCCATTTTGATTGTGAATGCATTATTTTCTTGCACCGTCTCATCTGGCATCTGTGTATGAAACCCAAATTTCGCCACCCGTTGGAGTCTCAATTCTACGGCATGGCTACTTTCTGCCACTTCCTCCCCTTCTGGTCTTGTCCTCCCCTTTTCTAATCTTCCTCCTCCTCCTTCTTTCTCCTCCTTCTTCTTCCTCCTCTTCTTCTTCATCTCTTTATGCATCCTTTCTTTCTCCTCCTCCATCTTCTTTCTTTCCTGATCCAATTTTTTTTATCTCCTCCTCTTTTTTTCTTTTTTTTTCCCCCTCCTTCTCTTTCTCCTTCTCGGCCAACTTTTTGTCAATAACGGCTTGTTGTTCTGTTGTATATGGCCACGTGGACCCACCAGACTG